GTGTCTGGACTTCCCTGAAGACCGGCCGAGCATTCGTGATGTGCTGCGTCTGTTGGAGGAGGCCAGAGCTGAATTGAGAGACGAGCAGACAGACATGAACAAACTGGAGCTTTTGCAAGCTCTTCAGACCCAGCCCAGGAACCAGGTGAGGGACTGTGTGTGCTGTAGTGAGATGGTGTTGCCAGTTCACTTGTGTTTGTTAACCCTCGGCGCGCATGTGCAGCGAAGGTTACTGTACTTGGTCCTTAAGTTTGTCTCTCTGTCAGAAAGCGAGAAAAGTAAACGCATGCGTGTGTTACACTGGCGGGTTGCGCATAATGGTCACGTGTTTTTTGCCATAAATAGCACAAACCCAGCCCATCAATTAGTGGTACGGCGCATGCGTTTACTTTCGCGTGCCCGTCACAGTGCGCCGAGGGTTTGCACTTCAGTGCTTTTCATTTCCTCTGGTATGGGGGCGTTGTTATGGATGCACAGGTGTATTTGCATTTCATTAGCCACGGGTGTGGCAATGTTGTTATAGTTGCAATCTCATGGGACATCATTCTTTCTTCCGCAAACCCATGGGGCCACATTGGTATTTCCACAACTAGTGGTAACTTAAGGAGTGTTGAGTTACCTTGGGGGCTTGGGAAATCGCAACGAAGGGCGTGTATTGACTCCTGTAGCTAGCCCGTGTCAGACTCTCTGCGAGCTACTAGCGGGAGACCACGAGTAAACGCATACAAGTAGCCCAGCCCATCAATTAGCAGTATCGCGCATGTGCAGTTCGCCGAGGGTTTGCACTTTAGTGCTTTTCATTATTAGGAGAATGTTGAGCTAGAGGGACAGCTGAGGAGAAAGGAAGCAGAGTTAGCTGAGGCCCAGGGCCAACAGAGACAGAAGGTGAGTATGAGTCATGTTTAGTTGCAAGTCAATAAATTCTCTCTCCTTCTGACTGCAGGAGGAACAGCTAACAAGAACTCAGCAATCCAGAAACTACGAACTAAGACAGAAAGTAAGTGTGCAAAGGTATTGTGTGGCTGTTTTATAGTTTTATAATTTTGCAGGAAGAACTGCTACAGTCCAGTGAAAGGGAGAAACAGATTGTCGTGCAACAACTACAATCCAAGAACCAGGTGAGGGACCTTTTATTCAGTCATATAATATTCAATTAAAGGGTTGGCTACTAAAGGAGAATGCTGAGCTCCAACAACAACTAGAATCCAGTGAGAGAGAAAAACAGACGGTCAGACAACAGCTGATCAGCTCACAGAGACAGAATCAAGAACTGAGACAGAGAGTTAGTCAAGTCTGTGGAACTAATGCAGTGTAACGAGGTCTTCCTGACTACAGGAGACTGAAGTGCAGGCCAAGGACAGGGAGCTAAGAGAGAAGCAGACAGTGAGAGATGAGCTAACAAGGAAGGAGAGAGAGTTAGCTGAGACTCGACAGAAGGTGAATAGTGATAACTGCAGGATGTGTCATGTTTTGTGACTAGAGGTCCTCCTGACTGCAGGAGGAACAGCTGCGATCAAGTGAGGCTCTAGTGGCTGACTTGCAGAAGGCCCAGAGAGACTCTGAGACTCGGAGAACAAAGGTAAACAATTCCTTTTTCAATGGCTATGAATCATATCCTTTCGACATTTACATATATAAAATATGCACGGAGCCTCCATAAATGGCTATAATACTAGGCGCTAATATGTTATACATCAATTTCTGCTTATTTAAGGAGACACCTATGGCGCCCTTAATATTGCTCTGTGTTTCCACCCTCTTTTGTCAGACTCAGCCTGCTAGCCTAGCAATAGCTGTACCCCATGCCCAACCACCTGCAGTTAAACCACGAAAGGTAGGCAACATTAACATCGATAATTAATGCAGTTGGTCTGTGTGTGTGTGTATGTGTGTTGGTGTATTGAAGAAAACGAAAGGAGAGTGCTATGGGTTGAGTGGCTTTTGTCCGCAGTACACATTTGCGTGGGGCTTTTGAATACCTATGCACCACGGCCCGATCTCCCGCCCGACCATAGCAACTGGCGGCCCTTCCATGTTAAGTGTCAGGTTGTTGTATATATTGTATAAGCACCACTCATCAGGGGAGCCCCTCAGCAGATCACCGTGTAGGCACAGGTTTCAGTCCCTTTAATCTCCCGACCTGTACACAGGAAGTTTACCTACATCCTTACTGCCTTGTTGTGACAAGATTAGACAAGATACACTGCTGCTGGCATCACACCATGCCAGTACCAATAATTGCGTGGGCGGCTGAGCATGCACTTGGTTTTTACTACAATTACAGGAATGGCAATGGGATTTTTTACTCTGTGTGTGTGTTTGTGATTGGGGAAAGAAGAGAGAGAGGTAAAGTGTTGGCAGGACTAAAGCTAACGAGAGAGGGCGGGCGGCTTTTGTCTGCGTCACTGCATGTAGCCAGCCAGGTGCTTAAACGTACATGTAAACCTATCCACAAGTCCAGCAACATGCAGGTGCAGTGCTAGGCTCTTTGTTACTGGTCATCAGGGGAGTTCTCAATCTTTCACCACACGCGTTTCGGCCTCTTTAAACTCCCGACATGTGAGACACTCCAGAAAGGGCGAGGCCACTCCACCTGGTTGGAGTCCAGATTTGCCTACTATATACGTGGCTACAATACTAACCTACATTACGTAAAGGCAATTTTAGTATAGCAGCTATGTATAACTTGCTTAATTCTATGGTCTTCTCTATTCTTCACTTCTTTCTTTCTTCACTGTTGCTCCTAACTGAGCTACTACAGGCAAGCTTGGCTGTTTCATACCTTGTTGTGGATGTTATGTCTACTAAAGTCAAAACTTCCCATGCTGTTAATTAGAGAGAGAAAGAGAGAGAGAGGGAGAGAGAGTGAGTGAGTGAGTGTGTGTGTGTGTGTGTGTGTGTGTGTGTGCGTGCGTGTGTGTGCGTGTGTGTGTTGGGGGTGATCGAGGAGAAAGGGAGGGAAAAGGAGGAGAAAGGAAAGTGACCAAACACAAACACAATGAGACCAGAGGCTGGGAGACTTTTGTCAACTTGGCAGCTCAGTGGTCAAAGTTACATGTATTTTTAGATTTACCAGGGAACCCATTTCTGCTTCAGTGTTTTGCGCTTGTGCAGCCTTAGCCTATCAACATTGTAGTTACACAGTGTCACTCATACAGACACAAAGAGCTGAACATGGATGCCCAGCTTTGAGAACTGGGGACGGTGGGTTAAAGATCTTTGATGGCCGGCCAACTCTCCCCACACATCCAATGTCACAGACTCTCGTGCCAAATCTACAGCTTACAGTACTAGTTACAATCGCATACCTTAGGCTCTCTGGGGGACTTGTTCTACTAATGCACAGTGGGGTATTTATAAGGAGTTGTGATGTCATAATATGGAATTTTCTAAGGGGAAGTGGGCTTGTTACTCTAGGGTCCTGGGTGATGTATTTTACTCTAGTGATATACTCACAGTGAAAAATGGGTGTGTGCTGTGTGTGTGTGGTGTGTGTGTGGTGTGTGTTGGGTATTGGGGGAAGCAAAGGAAGATAGTCCCACAGATTGTGGGAGGCGTGTGCCGACCTCACCGCGTGTGGCTGCCTAGTGGTCCAAGGTGTATGCATCATTAACGGTTGACTCACTTCTACTCTACTTGGGGACTTATATTTGGGCAATAATGAGCTATTATTCTACTTTCTGTGCTATATTGTATAATTTGTAAGGGCGCCTAAGTTATGGAGAGCGGAACAGTATGTGTGTGTATGTTCTACGTATACAAGCACAAGAGCAGGACATGGATGCCTAGCCTTGAGAACTGGGGACGGTGGGTTAAAGATCTTTGATGGCTAGCCAACTCTCCCCACACATGCAATGTCACAGACTCCTGTGTAAAATCTGCAGCTTACAGTGCTGTATTGAAGTAGTTACAGTCAATATACCTTAGGCTCTCTGGGGGACTTACAATCCTATGGTTCACAGTGGGGTATTATTTATAGGCAGTTGTGATGTCATAGGTATGGAATTTCCTAAGGGAGAAGTGGGCTTGTTGCTAGGGTCCTGGGTGGTGTATTTTACTCTAGTGATACTCACAAGTGTAAAAATGGTGTGTGTGTGTGTGTGTGTATGGGTTATTTAGACGAAAGGGAGGGAGGTAATACAAGAAGAATGGTAGGTCAAGATGGGGGCTTTGTCAGCGTCTTTGTATGCAGGTACCAGATACACTCAGGCTGTCATAGTAAAACGCAGTTGTCCATGCTATGTGCAGACACACATGGAGATACAACAGGGCAAGTGCTTGCTTTGCTGTCCTAGCTATTCTAGAGTAACGACCTAGTTTCATCAGGGAGGTTCCTCATGCAATATGCTATCCTCTGTTTCTGAATATAAGCAAGCTAACCATGTACAGCACATAGCAAAAACAAGCTAATATTATACAAAACTCTGAGTAATACTCACAGCAGTATACTAGAGGCCAGAGTAGTGACCTGGATGCCCAGTCTTGAGAACAGGGGGTGGTGGGTTAAAGATCTTTTATGGCTAGCCAACTCTCCCCACACATCCAATGTCACAGACTCTCGTGTAAAATCTACAGCTTACAGTACTGTATTGAAGTAGTTACAATCAATATACCTTAGGCTCTCTGGGGGACTTACAATCCTATGGTTCACAGTGGGGTATTATTTATAGGCAGTTGTGATGTCATAGGTATGGAATTTCCTAAGGGAGAAGTGGGCTTGTTGCTAGGGTCCTGGGTGATGTATTTTACTCTAGTGATACTCACAAGTTTAAAAATGGTGTGTGTGTGCGTGTGTGCGTCTGTCCGTCTGTCCGTCAGTCTGTCCATCTGTCCACCGCTTTTCTCGGTAACCGCGGCAACTCTGAGCATGAAACGTTGACATATTTTCAAGTAGGAGGCATGCATGGAAAAATAAGATTCTGGAGCGGAGAAGGCAAGGGAAGCTGGTGAAACGGGCGGCTGTCGAGGGGAATGTGCGTAAATTGGAGATCGCGCGAACGATCGCTGTGCTAGATGCTTTGTGCGTATTGATGGTATATGCAGAGCTAGATTGCTGGTGAAGTGACAGCAGCACACGCCCAGTGAATCCGTTCAGTGAAGGAGTCACTTATGTAGTGTAGCTAGTAGCTGAATAAAGTGGTGAGGGCTATGTACTGTCAAGTGCTTTTCACTTTGCTGTATAGAGTAGTGAACACGCATGTGCAAAAGACTGAGGTAGTGTAGCTAGTAGCCATTGGCTGCTGAATAAAGAATAAAGTGGCGAGGGTTATGCACTTTCAAGTGCTTTTGATTGTTGTGGTAGAGTATCAGGAGACATTTAGAAATTCCTATATAGAAATTTACTGATTGTGTTGGTGTCCGATTGTATGGCGCATTCATACTCTACACACACTATGGGATACCAGTGCACGTACATACACTATGGGAGAGAATGAATACCAGTACACAACTTGGCACATGACACACAATGGTTCCATGACCATTACGTGCAGTAGTGTTCTCTGCCTTCTACAGTCGACACACAACCATAATTATTAGAAAGTGGGTGTGACCCTTGCGTCGCAAAGGTCTGTTAACTCACCTCACCATGTATGTGGCTTAGCCCCCCAGTCCCACCCTATTGGGGATGTTGGCCAAAGGACTGGGACCCGTCGAATTGGGGGCGTGTCAGGGTATTTCCCTCATGGAGGTGGAGCTGCCTCATTAGGCTCCACCCCTGCCCAAGGAGTGGAGGAGGTACGAACTCCCACACCCCAAACACACCCCCTCAAGAAAATTAATTAGCAAATGGGAGCACGCTACTTACAGACAAAAGCTACGACAGAGTGTTCGCTTAGCACACGCATTCGACAACGTGTTAGAGTACTCTGCTAGGGGGACTTGCATGTAACGCAAGACAGCTGGGCTCGAGCAGCGGCCGAGGTCTTGTATTACAGAGTCTGGGATTTGCGTTTGGGTGGCAGCAGTAGCTGCTGGCGCAATGCTCTCCTGCGCGAACACGGGGAAAAGGCCACCCCTCGAAAAGGCACAGTACAGAGAATGACAGGCAGCGGTCCGAATCTCCCTGCCGAACAGGTGTACGGCTTGTACCTTGAAACCAAATCGTACCTCCAAGAAAAAGAGGCAGCGGTCAGATTCATCATGGCAGCAATAGGGGCCGCCCGCAAAGACTCGGGCATGAGTAATCCACGTACTCCTTCGACACGATTTTCTTTGCCGGACAGAGCTGAAACCAGGAAGGCGTACCAGATCCTCCGAGCACCCGTTTTTGACGGCCACGGTTACTACTGGCGAGGGCCACGCCGGGTGGGCCGTCCAGCTTATAGGGTCTCCGCTGCCGGCGGGGGCCATCGGGCAACGAGGCAGCTGCCGAGCCTGGGAAAGGCATCGTTAGGCGTGGCATAGAGCGGTGGACCCGGCCACTTGCGCCGTCAGCCACCGAGGCCGACAAAGCCGTAGATGTCGACTGCGCACAGCGTCCCGGTGACAGTTCGAGCCAGCTAGTCTACCCACGTGCTAGGCCCGGGATGGATACACCTGCCGTAGGTGTCGACAGCCCGGAGCAACTCGGTGAGGGGCCCTCAAGTTATTCGGTAGCAAGAGGCACCCCAGTTCGACGCAAACTGCTCGAGAATCTGCTGGCACTCTGGAGGCCCCCTTGCAGGGCATCTGCAATGGCGCTAAAGATTTCCGGGGCTGAGCGTAGTAGTGCCGGCCTTCCCACTCGACCCCCAGAAGGTAGCAGACCTGTGGGTGGACTGGCACTAGCCAGCACGATGATATGATAACGGGCTTCGCCAACGGTGCCCAGCCGCTGGACCGTAACTTCCATGGTCTCCACTGACGGAAACTTCAGCTAAGCCTCGATCCCATCGTTCACGCTTCCGCCCTCCAGATGAGACAAACCAGCGGTCGGCTAGGGGTGGGTCCTCTCGGGGCCACCCCCATTCTATCGCCCTGGGATCTGACCCGGGAGGAAGTGGCATGTGACATCCTCCCTTCCTCCACCTCCTTTGATATATAGTGCTGATACCGCGGGGCGGCACCTTGCCAACTGCCTATTGCTATGTGCAGTGGAGGGAGTGTGCTACCGGGCGAAAACGACATGGAAGCCATGCTCAGGCCTTCCATTACCTATTGCACGAACACCCTGTCGGGGTGGCCTGACAGCCGTCGATGCCAACGTGGCAGGCAGGGGATATAATGAGCCCCACTGCTTGGTGAGTCGTCTGCTGTCTCCGGGGTGCAGGCCAAGTGGGAAGTGTGGGTGTTTATGCCTGTCCACCAGATTGTGTTTGATTGCCGTAGCCATACAACATAGTACTGCACTATTCTGCGATTCCCACGCGGGGGCGCGGTCAGCAGCTAAGGTGCTGAGCTCGAGCGTTTGCTGCAGACAGGCTGGGTTCTAGGCCGGCAGGGGCGAGGATGGCTATCGGGTTTTGAGGGTTGTTGGCCGGTTGCTGGATGCAGGCGCCTATAATCCAACTCTGCCGCCGAGTGGGGGGCACCTGTACTTCGCGTACGAGTGCGTGCGTATCGGTATATACTAGGGAAATCGGCACATCGATCCCCCCGGAAATTGAACCGATCTCGGTGGCCCAGGCCGCCTTGGTATGGCTTTAGTAAACACGCATGCGTATCGGCCAGGTAACACTTGCACTTCAGCAACTGCCTGGCCATGGCAGCAAACGCCTTGTTGTATAATAAAGGGGGGGGGGGGGATCGACGAAGCCACAACCAGTACGCCATGATTGTCAGCGTAAGACGCCCCGCCAAGGTCTGTCGGCCGGTGAAGCCATGTGGGGCTCTCTCGGAAAGCCGACGCGAGCCATCGTGGCGAAGCACTCCGTCCGGATGTTTATGTTTGTAATCAGACTGCGGCGCGGCCGCCCCGTGTGGCAGTAAGGGCCGTGCGCCTGCATCTGCCAGGACTCGGGCAGGCGGAGGAATCGAATCCACCTACTCCTTCGACGCGATTTTCTTTTGCCGGACATAGCCGAAGATAGCCATAGCCGATCCTCAGAGAACCCGTCTTTGTCGGCCATAGTTGCTACTGGCAAGGACCACGCCGGGTGGGCCGTCGAGCTTATAGGATCTCCGCTGCCGGCTGAGGCCATCGGGCAACGAGGCAGCTGCCGAGCCTTGGAAAGGCATCGTTAGGCGTGGCATTGAGCAGTGGACCCGGCCACCTGTGCCGTCAGCCACCAAGGCCGACAAAGTGATATAAACACCTGCCGTATGTGTCGACAGGCGCAGAGCATCCCGGTGCTCGAGCCAGCTAGCTACGTGCTAGGGCTGGCAGAGCATTCCAGTGCTCGAGCAAGCTAGTCTACCTATGTGCTAGGCCCGGGGTGGATACCCTGCCGTAGGTGGCGACAGCGCAGAGCAACTCGGTGCTCCAGCCGGCTTGTACACGGATTACCTGGACGCTGGTCTATCGGAATACTTACCTGAGGCTGCCGGTGGGGGCCATCCGGCCACGAGGCAGCTGCCGAGCCTGGGAAAGGCATCATTGGTCGTGGCATCGAGCAGTGGACCCGCCCACCTGTGCCATCAGCCACCGAGGCCGACAAAATGATACACCTGACGTAGGTATCGACAGCGCAAAGCATCCCGGTGCTCGAGCCAGCTAGTCTACCTACGTGGCAGGCCCTTGGTGGATACACCTGCCGTAGGTGTCGACAGACCAGAACAACTTGGTGCTCAAGCCAGCTTGTCTACCCCGATAATGAGAGTACTTACCCGAGGCTGCTGAAGACGCAGCTGATGAGGGAGGTACGCAGGCGGCTTCACTCGTTGATGTCGAGTCTCCGGCCGTGGTTGCCGCTCGGGTATACGTTTCCAGAGGAGAAATTGTGGCCTCGTCAGCTCCCGCTCTGTCAGAGGTGCCTGCGACTGTAGACATCACGCGAGAGTATAGATACGAAGAGGGCCAGACGCTGAACGACGTGAAGAAAAAGCAACGGCAAGAGAGCCCGATCTTACGCCAACAGCAGGATCTGGCAGCAATGGTGACCACGCGGTCGGTCGTCCCAAACGCATGCTTGCTTCTGCAGCCGACTGCGTATGCTCCTAGTTCCCACGCCGGGCGCCGGTTCGCTCATTAACCTCGGTTAATGTACCATTAATCATTACCTAATCTTACCGTGTCATTCGTATAAAAAGAATATGCACGTGGAAAATATTATTTTATTTACGCCCAATCAATTTGCATGACACGTGTGCAAACTGTACACATGTGTCTGCAGCCATAGTGTTACATTCTGAGGTCCAGATTTGATGATTATGAGGTCATTACATGTCATGTGATCTCCCCTCAGCTCACTGTGCAGTGTCGTCGTAAGAAGCCAGCACCACGTGCAATGGCCAGTGGATCTGCAACAACTGATGGTCGATTTGCATACTTCAACCCTGGTGACTCAAACTCAGTCTACCAATATGAATGTAGTACAGAGAAATGGGAGGAACTTCCTTCATGTCCATATCAGAACTCTGGACTAGTCCTTATTGACGGGAAACTAACTGCTGTGGGGGGATGGGATGGATGTTGTTATACTAACAAACTATACACACTACGACGGAGGAAATGGGTTGAAAAATACCCTCCAATGAACACCGCCCGTTCCAACACTGCTGTAGTTACTACATCTGATGGTGAATACCTCATTGCGATTGGGGAAGGTGATGATTGGCCTGCTACAGTTGAACTATTTCAAGTGAAGAGCAGAAGATGGTACCAACTAACAGACTTACCACGACCTCTCCCCTCCCCTTCAGCCACAATATGTGGTGATCAGTTGAATGTGATAGGAACTGATGCTAATGGCTACTCTTTTTCTCTTGCAGCGCTACCATCAAGTGATCAACCAATCACATCACCTCTCACCCTATCCTGGAAACCTCTCCCTCCTCTACCAGTGGCAGACTCAACAGCTGCCACTCTCTGTGGACAACTAGTACTCATTGGTGGCAGGCGAGATGTTTCGTCATTAGTCAAGTCCATTCACCAGCTAGTAGATGGACAGTGGGTGGAGATTGGCTCTATGACTAGTGATAGGAGAATGTGTTTAGTAGTCAGTCCATCACCTCACAAGATTACTATAGTGGGTGGAGATGCAATTCTTTTTCCGGTAGATGTTGTTGAAGAATGTATTGTTACACAATGATTTTACTGATTTTGCTATTGTAGCCAAAAAATTAATTTGAGTTGAAAAAACAAAAAAGAGTTATTTAGCTACTACAGAGTGTTACGTAACAATCTAAGATGATTATTGTCCTGCGTGTCTCTACATATTTGAGATGTGTTGTACTCCTGAAGGGAAGAATTACAACAGTATTATGTAATAACCACACAACAGTATAAGTTATTTACTCCGTTTGAGGGAACTACGGTATTTCTATGAACCCGAAGGCCTCCGTGATTTTGTGTCACGAGCGCAGCGAGTGCAACTACGCGAAGAATCCCGTATATATACGGAGTAACCAGACAAATCCGCACACGATTGACTGCAATGGCTGCAATGGCTGCAATGGTTTCGGAGAAAACGGAAACCTTGCTATCAATGTCACATTCTACAAGACATTGTATTATTGACACACCCCTGACATCTTTAGTCATTATAGTAACTTATGCACCATGCTTGTATCATGTGTACATACAGTTATTTGTTAAATTATTTTACTGTCCTTATGTGGTTGTGTAGAGGTGTACTTATGCGCATGCGTACCCGATGTTCACAGGGGGGAGGGCGGAGCCTGCCTAGGGGAGCGTGGCACGTAAGGGAACACAAACTGCTAGAACCGATCAGCTTTTCTCTCCACAGATGGCGGAAGGTTGGTATTTTTAGAAAAGGTGATAAATGTAGTTGCTCGCGCAGGCCCGGCGGTCAATGAGACGCTAACACCAGACGATGGCGCGGACGTGTTGGAGGGACTACTCCCGGCACAGACCAAGTCATACGAGCTGGGGCTCAAGTTGAAACTGCCGCAACACGTAGAAGTCATCCACTCCAAGGACATTCCGGCTGACCAATACCTTCCTAGAATTCTGATCGAGTTCCTACAGCAAGACCGAAATGGTGGGTCATTGTGGAAGCTCTCAGGAGTCCTTTAGTCAACCTACCAGGTTTGGCTAGGAGAGTGGAAGCAGCTCATTTCCCTGACACTACTTCAACACATGACGTGGTACAGGCTGAGACTACTACTGGTATGTTACGATCAGCTCCACTCATACTAGTGCTCTGACTGGTAATGTCTCTATCACCTCAGACACAACAGAGTCAGCAGGCAACACTACTGCTGGTGATGATGAAGGAGTAAAATCAAAGCCATTCCCTCAACTGAACCCTGCGAATGGTGAGAGTAAACTGTACCTTGGGTTGTATATAGTTATCTGTGTGTAACTCATCTTATATATAGTTACGGCAGTGGAGACTGAAATCAAAGGGCTTCACGAGAGGTTCAACACTCTAAAAGACCTTGCAATCCAAGGCCTACAGAAGTGCTGTATTGCCGTCGTAACAGTAGTCTACATTCTCACCAACATTCGCACACATGAGCGAACTGCGCATGCGTGGTACTGCTAATGTATGGGCCGGGCTATTGGCGATTACCCGCGGTCTCCCGCTTGTAGCTCGCGGAGAGTCTGACACGGGCTAGCTACTGTAGTAGATAGCATGCGGGAGTCGATACACACCCTTCTCTGCGGCTTCTTGTGCCTCCAAGGTACACACAGCAAGCGCATCAGGTCGAGGTTTGACAGCAAAACCGGTCACGACGCATGCGCACCGCCTAATGCTGGGTTGGGCCACGCAACGCGGTCCGCAACCGTGCCAGTTTGTCGCTGTCGAACGCAGTCGTTTCAGGAAAATCGGCCTTTTAATTTTTAGGCTCGGGTAATTCTGAAGCCGTTGGAATCGCTAATGGGCCGCCTCGTAGCCTGTAGTGCAAGAATAAGCGTCGACACACACACACACCAACTACCGTAACCCTCGCTGCGCATGCGCGCCGAGGCGCCGAGGGTTAATAATTACGCGACTAAACGATCACCTCAGCCCTGGCAGTCACTGTTTAACAACACAGGTATGCATCATGTACTTTACGAAAGGCAATACTTTCCCCTCTCCTATGGGACATTGAGGGTAACATTTGATTGATAACGTTCCATGTTTTAAAATTATCAGAACGGTTGCGAGGTTTCCAATTTTGTTGCACTGATAATAAATTTTTTCAAGGTAGAAAATTTAATTAAATGGGAGAAAAAACACACGTGAATGACAATTGTGTAATTATAGGCATACTAAGATTGGTGAAATTCTCAGGAGTTGTGCCTTCCTATTGAGCATTACCTCTAGGAGGTGTGGCTTTCTATATACCTCACACGAGATGTGGTTTCACTTGAGCTTTGTGGAGGATGTACATTGTTCGCAAAAAGCTAAAATTATTATGTACCTAGTAGGAGCAAAGATGGAACCAGGAGTTGGAGAGGGAGAGAAGGAATTGCTCCGGATGACTGGAATAGAAAAACTATAATAAGGAGAGCACCAGCCAGTCACCATGGCAACGAGATAGGGCATAGGGGGAAAGACAGTGGCGTTTCTAGGATTTACATTAGGGGATGCTGGGGGAGCGCGCAAACGTGCGCGCGCGCAAAATGATATATACCGGGGTGAAATCATTGTTTAGCTAGACACGGCATTGTTCAGCACTGAGTATATGAAAAAACATGTTTATAGCATACTAGCTAAAAAGCATACTAGCTAAATATGTTAGCCATTTGTAGCCTCCTCGGGTGACGTCTAGCAAATTCCTCTACGACTTGCATTTCGAACTGCCTGTGCGGGTTCAATGCTTGCGCGGCAAAGTGCCAGGCCCGTTTTTGCGCTCGCGCAGCGCGAAGGATCCCTGGTCGCCGACTCGGACGCCGCCGCAGTGAGCCTAGTCATGCGAGCGGCTAACTTTTGTATGTTGAAGTGGTGGCGCAAGGGGGGTGATGGAACACCCAAAGCACCTTCCCCCCTGGACACGCCACTGATTTCTACCGTCTCTCTCTTTTCCCTCTCCACCCTTTCTTCCCCATAATACTCTGGACTGTATAATATCAGGGAAAAATTTGTTGATACATAATTATTGTGTGTATAAATGACGTCGTGAACTATGATCGATGCATGTACGAAGGCTATATGTATTACTGTGATGATGTTAGGGGTTTATAATTACTGTTGTGTGGTGATTATTGTTTTACTTCTTCCCTTTAGGAGGACAACACCAATATGTAGAGAAACTGTGAAGACAATTCTTCTTAGATAGTTACGTAACACTCTGTAGCAACTGTTTTTTTTTGTTTTCTCAACTCAAATTAGTTTTTGTTGTCTACACAAAATCAGCAAAATCACTGTGTAACAATACACTCTTCAACAACATCTACAAACTGAAGACGTCCTTTATCTCCACCCACTATGATGATCTTGTCAGGTGATGTACTGGCTACTAAACACATTCTCCTATCACTAGCCATAGAGCCAATCTCCACCCACTGTCCATCCACTAGCTGGTGAATGGAGTTGACTGGTGACCTACCTCGCCAGCCACCAATGAGTACTAGCTGTCCACAGAGAGTGGCAGCTGTTGAGTCTTCCACTGGTAGAGGAGGGAGAGGTTTCCAGGATAGGGTGAGAGGTGATGTGATTGGTTGATCACTGGATGGTAGGGCTGCAAGAGAACACGAGTAGCCATTAGCATCATTCCTATCACATTCAACTGATCACCACATATTGTGGCTGAAGGGAGGTGAGAGGTTGTGGTAAGTCTGTTAGTTGGTACCATCTTCTGCTCTTCACTTGAAATAGTTCAACTGTAGCAGTCCAACTGAAACCACCAACAACCCCCCAATCACAATGAGGGTATTCACCATCAGATGTAGTAACTACAGCAGTGTCGGAACGTGCAGTGTTCATTGGAGGGTATTTCTCAACCCATTTCCTCTGTCGTAGTGTGTATAGTTTGTTAGTACAACGAGATCCATCCCATCCCCCCACAGCAGTTAGTTCCCTGTCATAATGACTAGTCCAGAGTTCTGATATGGACATGAAGGAAGTTCCTCCCATTTCTCTGTACTACATTCATATTGGTAGACTGAGTTGGAGTCACGTGGGGTGAAGTATGCAAATCGACCATCAGTTGTTGCAGATCCTCTCTCATTCCACATGGTGCTGTCTTCTTACGATGACACTGCACAGTGAGCTGAGGGGAGATCACATGACATGTAATGACATCATAATCATCAAATCTGGACCTCAGAATGTAACACTATGGCTGCATACATGTGTACAGTTTGCACATGTGTCATGCAAATTGATTGGGCGTAAATATAATTATCGATTGCAGGCTAGGCAGCTAGTTTACAGGCTCACAATTCACCCTCCATACATTCTCTATGGGAGAGAAAACAAGTGCGCGACTTCTCTCTGTCTCTTATGTGTGGCACGACCAGCCTTGCGCGTGGCAACGCTCATCTCTTCAGTGACTCTGGCTGAGTCTCAAATCTGATTATTTTCCACGTGCATACACTTTTTATACGAATGACACGGTAAGATTACGTAATGAATAACGAGTAAATAGTCTACATACAGTACGGGTGCTACATATGTATGGTACGTGCAAACGTAGTGGCCAGTTTAGAGCATGTATTCACAGACCTTTGCGACGCATGGGCCACACCCACTTTCTAATAATTATGGTTGTGTGTCTACCGTAGAAGGCAGAGAACACCACTGCACATAATGGCGATGGAACCATTTTGTGTCATGTGCCAAGTTGTGCACTGGTATTCATTCTCTCCCATAGTGTATGTATGTGCACTGGTATCCCATAGTGTATAGTGTATGAATACGCCATACAACCAGACACCAACACAATCAGTAAATTTCTAGGCATTTCTAAAGGCCTCCCGATACTCTACCACAACAGTTATCAATGTTAATGTTGCCTACCTTTCGTGGTTTAACTACAGGTGGTATGGCATGGGGTACAGCTGTTGCTAGGGGAGCAGGCTGGGTCTGACAAAAGAGGGTGGAAACACAGAGCAATATTCATGGATATGATTCATAGCCAAGGAATTGTTTACCTTTGTTCTCTGAGTCTCAGAGTCTCTCTGGGCCTTCTGGAAGTCAGCCACTAGAGCCTCACTTGATCGCAGCTGTTCCTCCTGCAGTCAGGAGGACCTCTAGTCACAAAACATGACACATCCTGCAGTTATCACTATTCACCTTCTGTCTCAGTTGGTGCTGAGCCTCAGCTAACTCTGCTTCCTTTCTCCTCAGCTGTCCCTCTAGCTCAACATTCTCCTAATAACAAACACAAGTCAACTGGCAACTCTCTCTCAGCACACACAGTCCCTCACCTGGTTCCTGGGCTGGGTCTGAAGAGCTCGCAACAGCTCAAGTTTGTTCATGTCTGTCTGCTCGTCTCTCACTTCAGCTCTGGCCTCCTCCAACAGATGCAGTACCTCACGAATGCTCGGCCGGTATTCAGGGAAGTCCAGACACCCCTCGATCATCTGGAGGAGAGGATGCTTCTCGCGTAGCTGACTGTAGATCATCCTCATGTACCCCTCTCGTCGCTCTAGCTCAGTTCTAGCTATATGCTGTCGACCTTCACGATAGGTGGGAGCTAGCAAGTCGCAGGGGAAGGTTTGGCAGAGTGTGAAAATGGCCACGACACCAAAAGAGAAGATGTCGATGCTTGCATCGTACTTTGACTTTTTGTCTTTATTTTCTTCCCCAGGTTTGCTTTCCATGGCCTCTGGAGGCATGTAAATTATGGCCCCAGGTCCCTTTGTCATGGTGGCTGCAACTCGCATACGAGGCACGATACGAGCCATGCCCAGGTCCGCTATCTTGGCCACCATCCCCGAGTTCAGGAGAACGTTTCTGGCCGACAAGTCGCGGTGGATGATGGGCGGCGATCGCTCGTGGAGGTAGGTCAAGCCGCTCGCCACGTTGTGCAGGATCGAGCACTTTAGGCTCAGCGGGAAGAAGGGCTTGGGCGCGTCGGGCGGGGGAGGGGTGTCGGTTTCTGGGTCCAGCAAGTCGTGAAGACTCGTCAGCAGTCGCTCCATGACGAGGGCCGGCAGTCGCGAGCCGGGCAGGAAACACAAGCCAAGAAACTGGACGATGTTCGGGTGGCGGAGGGTGCTCATCAGCTGGCATTCCATCACGAACGACGGGACCAGAGCCGAGTTCAGGAAGACGTCGTGAATCTTTTTGGCGGCGCAGGCGGCTCCCGGCACCGCCACCTCCTCCACGCTGCCGTAGGCTCCTGCTCCGATTGTGGTACCAGTGAGCCGTACGTTTGTGAGCACGAACGGCTGCAGCTCTGGGTGGTTACGAAGAAACTCTGCCATCTCTCTCCCTAGAGCTAGCTATAAGAAAATGGTATGTCAAGAATGCTTTGAAAATAGCTAATGTGTTTCATGTTGGGGTAAGACACCTACCCACAGGTCTCTTAGTGCTAAGATACCTGTGGTTAGGTGGCTTACTTATAACTAAGACACTTCTGTTTGCAGCACAATATCTCTTTCAGTCACGAAATCAGCTTCTGCGTCCGATCGCAGCAATCTCCTGCACGTATGCGTAATTCTGCCCAAATCGACGCACCCCCTTCATCCTGCGCACGCGCGATGTGGCTATCTTTCTTCCTACCGTTTTATAGACCTACGCACAGCCTCCCTGCTGAGACATTTATGACATGTTTCACTCAATCCGGACCTTTTGGTTTGGCCCGCCTACCGGGTCAGAGTTCACAATTGTGTGCGGGATTTGTTGACGTTTCTAGAAGTGATTTACAACATTTTGTGACCAAAAGGGTTAAAGCAGTACAATGCATACACTGGGAGTTGAAGGAAACTATCTACAGTCCAAAAGTGAAGTTTATCGTGAAATTGCAACATTGCCACAAAACACCATAGCCTTCCTAAAAGCCTACTTATTCAATCACAGGTTCAGTGTTCTCACTTGCAGTGCCCAAACTGTTAACAGATTCTTCTTTTTTCTGCGTGTCAAAGGAAGTATCGATCTTAACGTTCCTCTTCGAAATAACGCGCGCAGAAGGGTGCGCGCGTGCGTATATACAGCGCTCGAACGGAAGACAGCACCACGTTTAATAAGGAGAGGATCTGCAGCAACTGATGGTCTATTTGCATACTTCACCTCACGTGACTTCTACTCAGTCTACCAATATGAATGTAGTACAGAGAAATGGGAGCAACTTCCATCATGTCCATATCAGAACTCTGGACTAGTCGTTATCGACAAGGAACTAACTGCTGTGGGGGGATGGGATGGATATCGCCGTACTAACAAACTATACACACTACGACAGAGGAAATGGGTTGAGAAATACCCTCCAATGAACACTGCCCGTTCCTACACTGCTGTAGTTACTACATCTGATGGTGAATATATTATACCTCATTGCGATTGGGGAAGGTGATGATGGGCCTGCTACAGTTGAACTATTTCAAGTGAAGAGCAGAAGATGGTACCATAGCAGACTTACCACGACCTCTCCTCTTCCCTTCAGCCACAAGATGTGGTGATCAGTTGAATGTGATAGGAACTATGCTAATATAGCTACTCGTGTTATTTTGTAGCACTATACCATCCAGTGATCAACCAATCACATCAACTCTAACCCTATCCTGGAAACCTCTCCATCCTCTACCAGTGGCAGACTCAACAGCTGCCACTCTCTGTGGACAGCTAGTACTCATTGGTGGCAGACGAGACGTTTCATCATTAGTCAACTCCGTTCACCAGCTAGTGGATCGACAGTGGGTGGAGATTGGCTCTATTACTAGTGATAGGGGAATGTGTTTAGTAGTCAGTCCATCACCTCACAAGATTATTATGGGTGGAGATGCAATTGTTTTTAATATTACTAAATATGAGGCATTGCTGCCGTTATAAGATCACAACAGAACATGGTAGTTACACAGTTTCAGTAAGCCATGAACCTAGTTGTGCAAGGACGATAGGATAAAGTATAACATACATAGACCACTGCACATGGAGGAAGTCAAAGGACAAGGAAACAATATCCGCGCTACGCGCGACGTCCGACGGAGCCAGTCAAGTTGTAGCTACTGCCTGTCTGTGGTAGACTTCCTGTCCTTAAATTTTATTTTTTTATCCGTCCAGAGTTTTCTGTATGTTTTGCACAGCCTCCTCCGCTGTGCCGACCAGTCGCAACTTCACAAAGCAGAGAGACAAGATGAGGCATAAGCTGGAGGAGAAGAGGAGAGAGAAGGAAATAAACAGAACCTGTGAGTGTGTACTGCACAGTTAGACACAAGTTATGTGCGTTCAGTCAAAACATGAGGTTTGCTCTGTCTTTTTTTTGAAAGGCAGGCATGTAAAAAAAGCTCTGCAATCGTCTACCAATACTGTATAACACAAACACTGTTGCTAATACAATAGATAAATTTTGAGAATTCAGAGAAGTGATTGGCCTGCTAGGCAAAGCATCAAATTGCGTAATTTATTGAAAGTTAAAAATTTGTATCAAACAAGTGCTTCCCATTCTTGCAGATAATCCACAACACAACTGCAGTGAGACTCACTCTAGGCCACTGGATGAACTCCTAGCCTTTACTGAGGGAGACGAGGAGGGAGAAGGGGGTGGAGTTTCATCCGTCTCCATGACTACCAACAACACCTCCAAACCTGGGAAGAAAAAGCATGTAAGAAAAATGTCTCTTCTTCCTGTTGGTTCTTAATTACATCCCTTTTTATGGTTCCCTAGCAACCACCACTTCCGGCAACAACAGAAGAGGAGTGTAGTGGCCACACCCACAAGCACATGACGGGTCATTGGGTGTGTCAGTGTGTGAGGAGAGAGAAGATGACAACAGGTCGTCTGGCAAGAAAACTAGCCACACCCACCAAGGTAAGACTACGCCGTGACACTTGTTTCTATCTTTAGTAACATTTCTCATTTTCATGCGAAATTAGAATCATGTAAACATTACATCACACTGAACACTAGTGACATAGAGAAAGAGAAAGCAAACAACAATGCAGTACTAATCTTGATCATGGCATTACACATGTTTACAGTCTTACTAAAACACTAACTATAGTAACTTTTAGTGCAACTTTACCGACTATGGCAAATATGGGACAAAAACCTTCTAAATCTCTGAATAAGGGGACATCAGGTGTTTGATTGCAGAATTCTGAACACTTATTTTGTGTTACTAATAAAATGTCTTGCAAGCCATGTCCTTATATGGTGTAGTAAGCATTTTAATCCTTTCCTCACTCCTTTTAAGATCTGCCGTCAGAGAAGTTGTCTGATGACTATGATGATGAACTGGAGCAATTAAAAAAGTGAGTTATGGTCATAAATTATAATAGTATATTTTATTGTGTGAGGATCTCTGACATGTGAAGTATTGTAAGACTGCCCAATGAAAAAAGAGGTGCCAAAAATGGTTCATTTCGTCCTTGAAATAATATGAGAAAACTGAGAACAGAACATCTATTAGAGCGAAAAGTAAATACCTTCAACCAACACCTATGGCTCTTTTCACACACATTTAGTATCATATATGTAGTAAGAACATTATGTTGTACATGTCTGTTAATACACATGCCAAATTAATAATTATCATTGTAAGTCATTTTCCCCGACAGGATCTGTTTTGCAGCACCTGCTGTGAACCGCAAGAGAATCGCAGTCTCGCTTGACATGACCGATCTCATGGCCAAAATGAAATAGAATTACATCATCATTACATCATTCTTGTACAATAAAAACAGTGACACACACACAATGTCTCCAACTGTTTTGAAAGTTGAAATGTTGTGTATTATGAGATAATGGACACAAAAAGTGCATGAAACTATACAACAACACATTCTTCAACAGCACGAAACAGCTCATCTCAACCCACTATGATGATCTTGTCAGGTGATGTATTGGCTATATACTAAACACCAGAACCTATCACTAGTCATAGAGCCAATCTCCACCAACTGTCCATCCACTAGCTGGTGAATGGAGTTGACTGGTGACCAATCTCGCCAGCCACCAACGAGTAATAGCTGTCCACAGAGAGTGGCAGCTGTTGAGAATTCCACTGGTAGAGGAGGGAGAGGTTTCCAGGATAGGGTGAGAGGTGATGCGATTGGTTGATCACTGGATGGTAGCGCTGCAAGAGAACACGAGTAGCCATTAGCTATCACATTCAACTGATCACCACATATTGTGGCTGAAGGGTAGCGGAGAGGTTGTGGTAAGTGTGTTAGTTGGTACCATATTCTGCTCTTCACTTGAAATTCCTCAACTGCAGCTGTCAAACTAATAGCACTAACCAACCCCCCAATCACAATGAGGGATTCGCCATCAGATGTGCTAACTACAGCAGGAGAGGAATGTGCAGTGTTCATTGGAGGGTATTTCTCAACCCATTTCCTCTCTCGTAGTGTGCATAGTTTGTTAATACGATGAGATCCATCATGTCCCCCTACAGCTGTTAGTTCCCTGTCAAGAATGACTAGCCCAGAGTTGCGATATGGACATGAAGGAAGTTCCTCCCATTTCTCTGTACTACATTCATA